TGCTTTTGGTATATACAGGACAAAATTTGTTATTTAAGAACAAAAATAAAAGTACGAAATGGGGGAAACCAAAGACAATAATAGTTTCAACAAAAAGGAAAACGGCAAATTAAAATGTGGGAGGGGGATAAAAACGAGAAAGAATCAAAAATACCGAGTCAACAAAAGGGAATAAGAAAACCAAGAAAGAAACGAAAAATAAAAAGTTTTTTTGAAAATAAAGGGTAAAAAAGGAAAAACTTATCGATTTAGGATGTCTGTATTCTTTTTCTTGACAGGCGGATCTTTTTTTACTTGCCTTGTGTCAGTCCGTTTTGGGAAATAATCCAAGTAAGTAATCCAAGTGAGAAAAAGTCCGGTAAATCCAATGCGATATCAAGCTGGTAAGAACAGATACTACACTTTGATCTTCAAAATACAAAAAACATAGAAATCCACACTTTGATCCAGACCAGATTTATTTTGTAAAAAATACAAAATTGTGGCACAAGGCCGAAAGGGGGAGGGGGAAAGGCTGGTCTTCACTAACTATCTTATACCTAGCTAATTTGATTCACGACCCATTCAGACATTACAATTTACTCATTCACCATAAGAACTCGTCCGTCACCAATCAATCCTCCTTGCACCATAATACCACATCCACTCTAGGGAGACCTACAAAACGCGCCCCATGTCATAATGATCCTAACACATATGTACAAAAATTCTAAGATGAAAAAATGAGATGGGGGTGGGATGTGAACCCAATAACAAACTAAAATATTAACATAAATGAAAATAAAACGTTAACTGATGTTACTAGGGCCCGTCCAACCCTCAAAATGCAGGGAGACCACTGTATTCTGCCCATTGGAACAAAATCAAGCAGCTCTCTCGCTAAGGGAGTGGGAAAGGTGATAAAAAAATCATACGGGCATGGGGAAGTATAAAGCTGACCCAGTCGAGATAGAAAGTGGGGGTCAAAAAACAAACTGGGGAGGTTGGGAATCTCAGGCTGGATCATAACTAACCAAGGGGAGGGCACCACAGGAAGCCACCCCGATGTAACGTAGGTTTGACCTAAAACAGAAAATCAAGGCTAGCCCCATTCACACGAACCAAGCTCGCCTCAGTCACCCACCTTTCGCTGAAGACTGTCGAATGCAAGCGTTTTCTATCAGTTCTAATTTTCATCTTGAGCTGATGCTCAAAGAATCGGATCAGATCCTGATGAGAAAGACGGCTGCCTCGCAAGACTTCCTCCATTCGCGTCGTCCAAATCACATTCGGACCGTGGCCAGCAGCGTCAGAAACACCATTCGTTTCACTCCGGAATACGCGGTGACACATTGTCACTGGTGTATGCGCGATCAATGGGCACGAGCAGAAGGGGCAGACCCGGGGACAATGGTAGAAGGCGTGCGAAGCCGTTTCTTGTAAACCTAGGTCACACCGTTCACAGCCTGGCAAATCCGCCAAGCCCCATATGAAGTCATTGTCATTGAGAGGCAGCCGATTCCGAGCCAATCTCCAGGTAATCGAAAACTCAGGTTTACTGAGGTAATCTGCTGCTGGCGCCCAATACCAGTAAGAGTGAAACTCATCCTCCGACACGTCGACCCGCTCACGTAGGGAATCCTTCGCGACCCCCTCCACTAGAAGACCTTCCTAGGCCGAGAAAGGTCACTGGACCGAGGAACAGCCAATAAGGTCGACCGACACTCGCGAAGGATATCCGATTGATCCCGGGGTTTACGATGGTGCTCAATCCGGGAGATGGGGTGGGGGACTGACAGGAATGAAAGGGAACGCGTCCCTAACAATCCCCAACATAATCGAATCTCCTGTCAATGCGCGGCGAAGGAAAGCCAACCTCGAGGCGAGTTTGTGGCTCGCCAAGTGTGTCATTCCCCATGACACGAACGTTGTGCACAGACTCGTCTGTCGACCCAATTCCCGCGTCCCCTCCATAAAATGAAGGATAGCGAGCGCTCGAGTGGCTTCCGATGGTCGTCAAAGAGAGGAAGTACGGACAATTGATAAAGAACCAGAGGGAAAACGTAAGTGGCACACTCCTCCGCCCTGCCCTTTACGGACAAACTCTGTCGACGCCAAGTCTGACCGGCAGCATCGACCTTTACTCGTATTTCAGACCAATTTTTCTCGAGCTGGAGGTCGGGTCCAAACCACACTCCAAGAATGCGGACAGGACCGTCCGTCCGACCGATGGGCCCACTTTTAGGTACCTATCTGCAAGCCGGGCGACTTGTCGCGGTTAATCTTGGCCCCGTCACCTTTTCGTACCGATCAAGCGCCTTCAGTACTGCCTCAATGTCGCTGCGGAATGACATGAAAGCAGATACGTCACCCTGGCTCGATCCTATTTATTGATTTTTGGGATTTCAAATCGGCTACAGATAGTTGAGCGGGAAAACAGATTTGTCGCAACTTGCTACATTTTTTTTTTGGTCCTTTTGAGAAATCAAGTTTAGAAAGTGAAGTAATGATTGGTTAAAGTTGGTTTGGGGGAAAAGTGCATTTTTCCGCAGGGGTGAGTAGCAAATATGGAGGATTCCATTAGATTAAATAAAGTTAAGAATTCCCTGTAGATTACCCAGATCGAGATACATCTGATGAAGACCAGAGGGAACAATAACCGAAACATTATAACAAAAACAAATATGAGGACAATAATCCGATGTAAATAGTGTAAAAAAATAATGAAAATTTATTAAAAGAAAAATAAACTAGAATGTTTTGTTTTTTTATAAAGAAGTTGTTGAATTGATCGTTAATTAAATTTACCTTTACTTTTTTATTCCTCTTCGTCATGTCAAAGCATTTTTGTGATATCTTCAACTTGCAGAATTTTTACAAAAATCAGGAAATTATACTGAAAATTTCAGCAGTGATGAATATTTATTTATTTTTTTTTATATTAAAAGTGTTATTATAAAAACTTGTGCAAATATTTTTCAAGTCAATTACATACGGTTTTCATAGTATCCCAGTGATTACTGTAATGAAAACTCAACACAACTTTAAAATGCTATCAGCGTGAGTAGATTAGTTAAACAAAACATTCAATAATTTTTGGTGGCCCTAAAAGGGTTGTTATTTTTTGTTACGGGACATAATTCAGAAATTTTGAGTTTTATTTTTGATCTTCAGTAGAAAAAAATCAAACTGAAAATGAAAAAATAAATAAGAAAGATTATTTTAAATGTCTACATTCGAAAATAGCATTCATTTTTAAAACTTTAAAGTAAACTTTTCATTTTAACCTTTCAATACGTCTGTATTTTATCAACAACGAAAAAAATATATGAAAGAGTTTCAAAATCGTACAAAAATAATTTATTACAAAATTTACATAAATCAGATATTTTTTCTTGTGGAAACAAAAAATATACAGTATTTTCAGCAACTAACAAACAAACGTTTTCGAATTTTCTTAAATTTTCGGGATGTTCACAGTCGATATATTTTTTTGTTTTAAGTTTTTAATTAAATTAAGTTACTTAGTTAAGTTTAACACTTTCATTCGAGAATTTAGCTTTATAAAAATTAGGAACATCCAATAAGCAGTAGTAGTACGAATTAACCGCAAGTAAAAGAAGTGGGTATATAACTGACACGAAAAAAAAAATTCAAATAAATAAATAAATAAAATGTTCACCACGTCACCCAATAAATTAATGTTGAAATCTTCAATGAAATCAAATAATTCCCTGATTTTGGGGAACTTTTTAAATTTTACAATTATGGGAAGAATATTTTTTTTCATGTCAAAACTGCACAGGAGTTGGTGGTACATTATTAAAAAAGTAAAAGTAAAAAAAGGAAAAAAGAAAAGTAAGGATGGAGATGCGAGGCTTTCTCTTCCTCTTTTGTCAAACTTTCTACCCAGGGCGGAGAGGAACCCAGACAAGGCTATGCCCAAGGACAGAGTCTCGTTTGGGGAGGTAGACAAATCCGACCCCGTGTATACGGGATCTACGGGCAATTTTTGCCCGACCCTACGGGCTCGGAACGCCCCACGTAAGAAAATGGCCTTGTGGGGAGGTTGGTAAATAGAAAGGATGAGGAGTTGAATGAATAAAAAAGGTCAAAACAATTATTAATTACTCATCGTAATGGGAATATATGCAGAGAAATTTACAATTGATATTTGATAAGGACTACAACTGCACACAATAATAACAAAAAACAACTTTTTATGCGATAATTTCTAACAAAATTAGCCACTTGAACCAAAAAAGTAAAGAGAAACATAGTGTCATTGACTGCTTATGAATTTGAATCTTTTTATAGTTGTACAACGAAGAGTGTAATTTGTACCACATTTGCACGAAATTTCAATTGCATAGGTTCATAGAAATAAGATAGAATAAAAAGAGGAACATGTTGCATTTCCCAACATGCCTCTGTATTTAAGTTGACTTCCGGTAAACGTAGTCAGTGTCAAAATTCTGGATTAACAAACTAAACACTTTGTCAGACGTGTTCATCTGAAGAAATTCAACAAAATAATTTCTATATTTCTGATCCTATACTTTTTTTTTTTTCAGTTAACTCCGCAGAAAGACATATTTCTCAGAGGCATACCCTTTTCTCTCCTCTGAGAATATCTTTTAAAAAAATGGCGACTTTTGTTTTCATGGTCACCTGTTTGTTATGTTTTTTCACCTGCTGCCTCTCGAATGACCAAACGTTTCCCTCAACTTGTTACGCCCAGAGTTACATACCCTGTGTTAACATGACAAATACTCAGAAAGAATTGTGTTTGAATTTAAATAATTACATTCACTTGTTGTGTAATAATATGACAGGAGGGCATATTCCCTCATCCCAGAACAGTAACATATCTACAAACGAATTATGTAAACAAATCGAAGTCAATCTCGATAACCTAAATATCAGTAATACTTCTAATAATAAAACTTCATGTACTGAAATTTGTTCTAGTTTTAAGAGTTTATGTATTTCTTTGAGAAATCTGAAAGACGCTTTGCGCAATGAAAGTAAGTAAAAAGTTTTTTTTTTTTTTTTTTTTTGTGGCGTGGTTCAGGTTAAGTTACTTGAACGTTTACATTTTTTTTTGACTAATTCCATTTTTTATCAAAAGTAATCCATTAATTTTTTCCAGGGTTTTAATATACAAAAATAGGCTGTATGCCTAAATTATAGTCGTAACTTTAACTGAACAAAATGAATTTTAAAATTGACTTTAGTTTACCCTTTTTTTTACTTAACGTAACAACAATGAATTGAATCATCACTCGATCAACAAAATGGCCTTTGAAATTTTTGGTGTGATTTTATTTTATAAATTGTTCGCTAACTTTGCCTTTAAAAGGTTCCTAAAAAGCATTGAAAATCTAACTTTTAAACTTGATTTAAGTGTCGAATTCAAGAGCAAAAAATTATTTTAAAAAAATTGTAAAGAAAGATGAACAAAATCAAAAACATTAAGTTAAAGTAAGCGATTAGTTGTAAAAAAAAAATCTACTTATGAGTCAAGCAACACTTTAAATTAGAGAACATTTGATCGACGCAAAAATAACTAGGAATTTAAAACGTTTTCTAATTTGTAATTGTACGTCTCCCCCTTTCATTGCAATACATGTGCATTGGATTTTCATATTTTATTCTTTTTAGATTTGGGGTGTGTCGTACCAAATATCTCTACTTCAGCATTCTGCATTACTAATCCTTGGATGTCAGCAAAAATTTTAGGGTTTCTTTTATTTTTTTATCTTAATTTAAAATTCAAAAGTTTTGCTTGTGTTACGCAGAAACATGACAAACATTTTTAAAAAAAAAAAAGATAAACTACTTTGTTTTGGTTTTTGCTTGCGACGATGTAATTTATTAATTTGATGGGCATTTATTTATAAAAACTGTTCTGGCAAGTCACACGTTGGGCATTTGAAAATAATTGTTTTTTTTTCTGCGACTGTAGTCTCAGAATATACTTCTTTTATGTACAGTGTTCCTTCAGGATGTAGGCGATCAGTTTTTTTCTTTGTTTTTTTTAATAAATTTTGTCTTTTTTTATCTCTCCTAAACCTTGCTCTGATATCAATTAGCTATAACTCAAAAAAAGTTGCAAGATGTAATTTTCTTAAGAATTGAAAGCAAGTTGGAAAGCTTAATGGTCCGTGGGGGGGGGGGGTAAGAAAAATGTGAAACAATTCTAAAAATTTAACAATTTATATTTTATTCTTAAACACTGTAGGTACCTCTGCTTTGGTCTTTCCTCTTAATAATAACAAACATTTTGATGACAAAACTCCGTTTTTATTAACTTTTTGGGGCCTTTTTTCATCATGCTATGCTGTTTTTTACGCAACCTAGTGGAGGTACCTACAAGTGAGTGAATTACAAACACTGGAAACGTCAGTTCTTTGACGATCTAAAAAAAAATGTTTTTCATTCATTTATCTGCATGCTGATAAAATAAAAAAAAATAGGGTGGAGGATATTTAGTTTCGGTTTTTTGTTTTTTTACGTCATGTCAACCTCAATGGCTTATTAAAATGCCGAAAAGATTTTTAGGTTAGGTTCATGATTAGAGAATATATAGACTTTTTTTTTTTTTTTTTGTCGAAAGTCAACAAACAAATCTATAGCTGGTAATATCTTTTTTTCCAAAAAATATATTGCTGGTATTTTTTTACTATAAAAATCTATTTTTACTTTCTTTCATAGTATTTTGACTTTTTTGACCCCAGATTTGTGTGTTTGTTTTTTTTTGGGGGGGGGGTAACTTAACTTTTTTAGTTTATAAAATCTTGTTTTTCATGAAGTGTTGACACATTTATCGACAGCCTCCTTCGACTGGAAATTTTATCTAAGGAGATAATGGACATAAAATTACATGGCTAATATACGCCTTTTTTGTTTAGTTACTGCTATGGACGTCTGTATTACAAAAAACGTCATTATACAAAAAACATTCTTTTTAAAATACAGGTGACGCTCACTATAAGGAAGTTTTTTCATTTAAAATACAGTTTTTATTTAATACTAATAGCAATATCACTTGACTGTTAAAAAATTAATATAGAATTTTAAAGTTTGAAAGTTCATACATTCTCTAATGAAACCATGTAAAAATTTCATTATTCGTCGAAAAAAATTCTTTCCCTAAGAAGTCCATATTTTATTGAAAAGCAAGTAAAACCTTTTCTATTTAATGAAAAATGTTCTGACTAGCTACATTCCCTAGTTCCACCAATTCAGACTTTTAAGACCTGCCATGGGTGAATGATCCTTCCTTTTGTTAAAGTTCCATTTGTACAGCTTCTTCCCAAGAGCTACTGCTTTGTCGAACATCCTCTTGAGAGGTTACTTCCTTGGCCACTACAATCTTAACTGCTTCAAATCTAAGACCAAATGTTATCTAATTTGCATTTTTGACATTCAAAAAATATCCCTGTAACCCTATAACTTGAGTTATTCTTGGGCCTTATAGTGGGTGAACAATAGTGTAAAAAGAAAAAAAATCTCTGAATTAAAATATTTTACAAAACTTTAAAAAAATTATAGATTTAGATAAGGAAATATTTTCTCACTAAGCATACTTAAAATATTAACAATAAAAAGTATCCACTGATTGTTTTTTTTCTCTTTGTAATCTACTGATAATGCTTTGCAGGATGAAATGTTTCTGTTTTTAGAAACCTCTATCCTCCTCATATTGATGCATAAAATTTAAGAAAAGGTCTTTGTTCACCACACACATTGTAAAGTTGAAGGTAAAAATCAAGGATAAATTTAAAAAAAAATTTATTTTGAAAGATGCAGGATTCTATATTAAATAGAATCCTGCATCTTTCAAAATAAATTATAATTTGAAATGAGTTCCTCAGTTTGTTAGAAAGCTAAAGTTTATTGAAATGCAATTTATTTTTGGACTGAATTTCATGTTTGGCATTTACAGGATTTCTTCAAGCTTGATTACCAAAAATATTTTCATATATTTTTAATAATTCTGTTAAGAAGCCTTAATGTTAATGTAATTCATATATGGTAAAAACATTGTTTGATATTTATGTACACTAAAAACATTATCTAAATCAATTTTGTTTTTTTGAAGTTGGTGAATATTTTTCATAAAACTGCTAATAAAGTGAAATGAATGGGCAAAATGAAAAATTTTAAATAAAAAAAAATTAAAATAATAATGAGCATTCATCAAGTAATGCTAATTTTGTGAAAATTTGATTTCATTTCTTTGTTGCAAAAATGTTATAAAATTAATAGTAAGTCATAGTCCCATTTAAGTTATTGATATGTTGTGTTCAGTAAATAGATTTGCAATGAAATATTTTCATTATAGCAAGACTTACTTGGGTTAATTTCCTCATCGTTGTTGATTTTTATTATAACATTTTAGCAAATAGGTTCATCTACTATTATGAAGTAGTTCTTGTATTTTATTCCTTGTACTTCCACAAATGTTCCTGGCTTAAAATGTAACAAATGTAAACATTTTTATTTTGTCAAAATAGTTTGTGGTCTATTAATTCTGTAATCTGAATTGTATCCTGAGTTTATATTAAGATTTAAAAATTTTTTTTTTTTTTTTTTTTTTATTTTTGCAGTTAAAAATGATTTACAACTTAAAAATGAAACTGAACCTGCGGTGACACCAAATAAATCAGTATCAACAATGCCGATTGATACAGTATCGACTAATAAAAGACAGAAATTGATTACTACATCATCAGCAGTAAATGTACCACCTAAAATAAATAGAATTCTTAATACAAGTAGTGATAACAAAATTAAGAGTATCTTAACTAGCAGTGTATTGAACAATGTGGAGAAAAAGACAACGGTCAGACAACATGACTTTAATAATGTAACATCTAAATCCTTCCTTATAAATGATCAGAAGGAAATACCAAACCATTTTCCTACAACATCCAGGGATGAGCAACAGAAATCTTTTGATGGTAAGAATTTCTAAAACTGTTTATTTTATGAATTTGTAGCATGAATAATTTCTATTTGTTCTTTTTACTGATATTTTCAAATTATTAAAAAAATGATTGCATTATGAATAAACAAAGAAATTGCTGTAATATATGTATGAATATGTCATCTGAATTTTAGAATAATTTCTGTATTGCACAAATTTATTAAGTAAAGATTAAGGATTAATTTATTTAGATTTTATTGATGTTATGAATTGTTCGTTTTTTAACTTCTCAATGCCTTACTTCATAAAATTTACCTGGATTTGTTTAATTGTAATCATTGGATTATAACAGAGTTAATATATATGAATTTTTGATTCTCACTCATATTACTGGGCTGCTTTATAGATGTATCTATTACCTGGAAAGTGAATCTTTGAAACATTTGAGATTTTTATACTCTGTTAATATGACAAGATGTAAATTGTGGCTAGTCGTCATCATGAATAATAAAATTTGAGACTGGCTTCTGAACCTTCTAAAGATAAAAAAGTCATAACTTTTTCAGACTGACTGGTATCAAGATCTATACCAGTAAGTTTTGTTTTTAGCAAACACAAGTGAACATAATTTGAAGGCTTTTGATTCTCTTATATCCTGATAAAATTTTCAAAATTAACTCTGGAAATCCTCTATTTGAAGAAAATTAAAAATATAAATGAACATTGCAAAGATGGCACTTAATTGAACATACTTGCAGTTGTAAGCAAAGAAGTAATAAACAATAAAATATAGGAATCTAAATAAATGGGAGAACACTTTTTAAAAAAAAAAAAAATTACAATGCACATGTTGAATGAATACTATTGGAACAACTGTATTTGATGGTCTTATTCACTTCTAAATCTATGAAAAGAAACTAGATACCTGTTTTAAGCAGCTAGATTTGAATACCACCTTTAAACTAAATTAAAAATTCAGTTAATAAACTAAAAATCAGCAGATAGTTTTTCCAGATTATGAAGTAAATAAGCTGAACTGAATTTTAATTTACTGAAAATTATTTTAATTTTAGATAAAAGGCAGGCTTAAAAGGTTTAATCTAACTAATACTTTTTGTCTATTGTTTCACAGATCAGTAAGCATAAATGTTACTTTCTCTTAAGGTTAGTAATTGCTAGATTTAGAAAATATATTGCACTAAATTTAGAATTTATACTTGCAGTACTGATACAGATTATGGCGGACTCTTCAACCTTGCACAGAGTACTGTCACCTGTATGTGAGAATTTCAATATACAATGTGACTAAACTTCTTGGGTGGGCTGGGCCTTCAAAACCCATCATGAGGGAGTAAAGGCATAGGGAGAGAGTATGATAATGCACTAAATTTAGTATTTATGCTAACCTCAGTAATTTAACTTTTCAAAAGTGAATTAACAATCTGTTAAGCTGCCATAATTACTAATGTTATTCTAAATCTTCAGCATTATATTGCTCTTTTTCAAAATGCCTTTATTTTTGTAATTCCACTTAAAATTTTATGAACATACTTAGCTATTATGCATGTTTTAATATATGTAAATGAATTTAATATATATAATACTTTTTTTATTTTCTGGAAAGGAAAAAACACTGTGCAAATACAGCAAAAATAAGTGTTGTTTATAGAAATGGTGCCATAGGTGAGAGTACTGTTTGTAAGTGATTTGCTAGCTTCAAAAGTAGAAATTTGAATATGAAAGACTGGGAACATTCTGGCAGGCCTGCAGTCATTGATGATGACCAAATTAAAATGCTGATTAAAACTCACAAAGATACCCCACAAAAATTGTAAGGCTTGGATACATGAATTGATAGGATATTTGTGTTTCAAAATTTAACAGAAAAATATTTAATGGCTTGCATTTCCATCTGTGATCTTTTTTGCTTAAATGCAGCAATACCAACCCGTTTTTGAAGAGAAAAATCACGCACAATGAAAATTAGATTATTTCCATATTTCCAACAATGTGGAGCAGAAAAATGTCCTGGGGGGAAAATGAAAGCTAGGTGATGCAGTGTATCTAATGGTATTGGAAGGCATTGTGTATTACAACCTCTCTTTGCCAAATTAGATGTTGTTCCCAGTCAGACTGATTTAAAGGTAACAATTGATGAAAAATGTTGGCAGACTGTCATCTTCCATTGGGACAATGCCAAATCTCATGTTTCTTTGCAGACCTGGCAGAAATTGGTATAATTTAGCTGGGATTTCTTACTCACCTGATCTTGTACATTTGGAATCACACTTATTTCAATTTCTACAAATCTTCAATTTTTTAAACCCAGTAAAAATCAATTAGACTAGTCCATCACCCAGAAAGATACCAAGTTGTAGGAAAATGGAATCATGAAGCTGCCACAAAGATGAAAAGTAATAGAACAAAATAATAATTATGGTGTTGAATAAGTCTATGTACAAATATCTAAATATTGTCTTTGAAATTTACTTACAAAAACTTTTGTTCTGGTTATATATATATATATATATATATATATATATATATATATATATATATATATATATATATATATATATATATATATTTATGCAAATTTAGGTAATCCGTATGGGTAGACCTGAGGAGGATGATATCCAGAGAGCTCAATGTAAAATTCAGAGCAGATATGTTTGAATAAAAGACAGACCACGTTAAGATTCCATGTAATAAGCTATTTCACCATAGCCCCTTTAACAGGGTTCTGGATCATCAGACTTTACTTCTAAAAGCTGAAATGAAAAATGAAAAGAAATTCACACGTTTTTTACGGACCTCATCAAGTATACGCAAAGTTAACGAAGTGAGGTGGGAGAGAGGATATGAGTGTGTCATTTTAGTTTCCTATTTTAACCCCAGTGTGTCGGCTGGATGTTGCTCAAATTTAACGTGTCTCGTCTCTAGATAAAGGTGGTTAAGGGGTGAGCGATAAGAACTACATTAAGGAAGACGTTACAACAACCCCAATAAATTACACGACAGGTTTCATTCAAATTCTTAGACGCTGTCAGTTCGCGCTACTTTAACGTGCCTATTTGGGAGGTTAAGGTTTTTAAAATATCTAAATTTTAAAACAATCTACGAAGAAATTAATTTGAAATTCGGTGGAGTTTTGGGTATTTTCTATGAAGCAGTCGATTGGAAAAATCCATAGACAGAACATTGAAAGAATAATCCAATTTATATTTAGTACTTTTTCCACTAAAGCTTTTATCTTATAGCTTGTTAGGTTGACATTTATTTGTTTGATTTTTGTTCATTAAGTAAACTCGTGATTGTTTTTGATTTTTGTTCATTAAGTAAACTTGTGGTTGTTTTTATGTATCCAATTATCAACAGTTATTCCCATTTAAATAACTTTATTTTCCACATTGGGGTAGTATCTTTCAATCTTAATTAAAATACTAATCTAAAACTTTCCCTTCGTGCTATTTAAAATTCACTTCCAATTGGAGAATATTATAGGAGAAATTTGGAAGAGATGTCACTAGCAGAAAATTAGGCCCTTCTTTTACATTTTCTTATCTACACATGTCTTGAACCCCTATTTGTAACCACATATCTATATCGTCTTATATGCCTATGAGTTCCTATATACACCTACACACACATTCACACAAAAACGATATATGTATATTTCCATCTTTACACATATACACCTGCAGAGAAAACGCACATCCACATGTCTCCGTACCTATCTCCATGTATACTTATACTTACATATATACATATACACACAAGGACATCTGCATATCCATATATACTCATACGCACATATATATATATCTACACATCCATACGTATACACATACATACACACACCCATATATACATACATACATATACATACATACACATATGCATATGCATACGCAATCTGCAGAATATCTACATACCCACATATACGTTAATTTGCAATTTTACATATATCTACCCACGTATTTGTCCCTATCCTCATGTCCACCTTGTGCATCCACTTATGCCTGCGTTGAAGACTATCTCAGTATTTAATTACATTATATATATCTTTACACATAATATTACCCGATCTTTCATATTTATGGCAAAACATATAAGTACCTATCTAATTGTACATCTCCACACTCACAAAAAAAAAAAAAAAAATTGGTATGCTTTTTTTCCATATAAAAACATATACATGTACATATCAACAGGTGTCTCAGTGTGCAAATACATTATCATAGTTGTATACATACAGTCATGTGTTAGCGTTCATGTGTGCATAGTAATATTTCTAAAAACAAAGGAATATAAAACATTCAAAATTGCTGTTCCTATATGATTATTTCTTTGTGTACTTGCTTAGGTTTAGGTTGTTAAAAAATATATGCCGGCATTTAAAAAACCCACCTTTTATTTCCTCAACTCCAATATTTTATACTTGATGAGGTCCGTAAAAAAATGTTGAATTTCTTTTCATTTTCATTTCAGCTTTTTGGAAGTAAAGTCTGATGATCCAGAACCCTGTTAAAAGGGTTATGGTGAAATTTTTATTACATGGAATCTTAACGTGGTTTGTTTTTTATTCATAATATATATATATATATATATATATATATATATATATATATATATATATATATATATATATAAATTTACCAAGCTTTTTTTAGATATGGCAAAAGACTGAAAGTATTTTTGCAGTGAGAATCAAACTCACTACTCAGTCATAATTGCTCTAGCGAGACAAGTTTGCTAACCATTACACTACGTTGGGGTGCCTATATATATATCTCTATCTTGGATGTTGAATGAAGACACCAGAAGCAAACATCCAATGTTATCTGTTATGATATGGTAGGTTGAAGTGTTTTGTGACTGGGAAATTATTGTTGTTGTCCCTGATGATTTTCTTATGGTTGCAAAATCAAAGTCTGTATTCTGTACTTGTTTCTCCCACATAGTTACCTAGTTGGCACTTGTGGCAGAAAAGCAAATATATGAGATTCAAACTATCACAAATTAAAGCCAGTG